CCAATGCAATCGAATCAAAAATAAAATATCATTAAAAATTTAAAGAAATAATGTTTATAACCATTTATGTAGGTGTTACAAAAATTGATTATATCCTCCGTGAATCTGTTTTTGCTTTAAATTTTATGCAACGGATGGCGCTTTAATCATTTTAAATAAGCAAAAACATCTGTTTACGACATTATACTCGTAGATGCATGTGATTCCTGAAGGTCAGTTAGAATTTATATGCAGATGAGAGTGTTGCTGTTTTATAATTCAAAAGTATAAGTGCATTAATTTGATATTTAAAAACCTATCCACCGTGAAGCGTAATATCTCAGTAAGTAGTATTTTTTTTTAAATATTAAGGTGTCAAAAGATACAATAACTTATTTCAAATATACAAAGGGATGTTTAAAAAAAAACATACGAAATCCTAACCTCCGTGAAGCTATATTCCGTGAAGCTCTAATATTCAAAATGTACGATTTCAACATATTCACCCATAAGTAATTCGGATATTAGAGTGTGGTAATACCTTAGAAGAAAAAAACAGATTTCCAAGAATGGTTACTCTAATGTTTTATAGATGTCGCTCTATCCAAATATTTAATTTAAATCAGTTTTAAATAATAAGCCTTTGTGGTAGAAAAAGTATAGTATGTAAGTCGTTTATAAACTTTTATAGAGACATTTAATTAAACTAAAATGGCGTTTATCAAACTTAATACATAATATACTATTTCTTGCCTAATGAATTGCAATAATAAAACCCAAATATACTAAATTTTGTCGATGTATAACAAAAAATATTTTATACGAATATCGAAACTCCATAATTTTAGCTATTAGTATAATTAATTGAACAAGTTTGATTAATTTAGGTAGGTATCTGTTGTATCGTGTGATTTTGGATTTGGGTCATGCACGATTTGGCATTTCAATTGGAATATCATCAACAATTCTCGTTTTGTTTCCCATTTAAGCCCATTGTGTTTGATGGGACTGTCTTTGTGTAATACTTTATTTATTACTCAATCAATGTAATTGTTAACTATTTTTTTAAATATTGTAAGAAAATAGCGGAAAATAGGGAAATCATTGTCAAAATCAAGAACACTAACAATATATACAGAGTTCGTGGTCAAATTATTTAAAATTATCTAAACCACAAATAACAATAATTGATAAAATTATTGATGAAAAATACTATTATACTATTCTAATAAGAATAGACTTCTAACATAATCAAATGTTCCAAAGTACAAACAAAGAAACAATGAACTTTATTCTTATACAAATTATTATGGTTATCAATAAGCAAATTCCCTTCTATAGAAAGGACAGAAATTTATTTATTTTTCTAAATATGTCCAAAGTTCATTTTTTTTATCTTAACTGCGGCAACGTTGCAAATTTAGGATTTTGGTTGGTAACATATACCTGTTATAGGTATATGGTTGGTAAATACAGTTGTCAAGTTGGTCGCATTGATTAAAACAAACTAAGGTAGTTATCAATCTAATTGTGGTTATGTATAAATTATTGTAGGTTACATTGTGCAGTTGTCAAGTTGAGTTGTCGAAATTCGTAGTTAAAAACGCAATAAATTTGGCTTTGGTGGTGCTTGGATGAGTTAAATCATATAAAAAAGTAGTTAAATATAGGTTGCTTTACGGCCCAGAAGATAAAGTATTTCTAGCGGATAATAATCTTCACTTTGAAAAGAATTTATATAAAAGAAATTAAAATTTTTTGTAAACGTAAATGTTGTCCAATGGTGAATAATGTGAAAATAATGTGTGATGTAATATTTATAAAACCAAATTCGTTACTTTTTTACTCCAAAAATGTCCATAAGGCGATGTACTTTTTCTTCCATTGTGGCATTTGTCATAATTTCTCAAAATTTCGTTTTGCCCTCAAAAGGGCTTTTACATTCGAATTCGTGGCTATTATTTTTGGCATAATTATCTTTTTATTTATAATTGACAAGTAAATTATCAAAAATAAATATTATTGTCAATTTGACAGTGTCAATTAATAATTAAATTATTTAGCAGAAGTACCATTTTTAAATACTAAAAATACTGGCACAAGCCACCAACCTAACAAAAAAAACACGAGTCCAGATAAAAAAAAATGAACTGTACATAGATATATTATTACTGAAATTAATTGAACGTTTCATCAAACTTGGAATTTCCGTAATATTATGGACCGAGCTGTTCTGCGAAATATGTCTCATTAGATAAAATATTACTTTAAAACGGTATCCAAAAAAATTACAACTAATATAAACTACACATAATATAAGGCATTTCTAAACAATTTGCTTATGTTAATTAAATTAATTAAAAATACAGGTGCTTGCTTTGTTTGGTAATACATTGTTGCCTAATAAACATATTAAGCAAATTGTTTTAAATGGTACAGGGTTTTCTCATCAACTTTGACACATATTTTGTAGGTATATAATATATATAATTATAATTAACGTAAGCACAATAAACAATTCGGAAATTTAACTTGATTTAAATTTTTATCTAAAAGCGTATGAAAAAAATAAAAAATACAGATAATTGTAAGTTACAATTATTAAAAAATATAGTGAGGTTAGATAGCTTTAGATGTTTCAGCAGTTATCGAATTGTTGACTGGTCCTAACGGGTATTTTAGTGACTAAGAATGTAAAAACTTCACCTGATTCGTCTAAATTATTTTTCACATACTTTACTATGCTGTATTTCTTATCATTGTTAAGTATTAAAAACATTAGAATTTATCACTTTTCCCAAGATTCAATTTAAAGAAAAGACTCTTGATAACTTGTTAGGACTTCTAAAAAGGAATTACCCAGTCCTAAATAACAGGTATCTTTGTCATTATTAATAAGGTAGTATATAGTATACCTAGTATTACTTTTATTATTACCTGAGAATAACAGGAAAAATGCAAATACAAACCAGCTTTTACATTTTTAAAACTTGCTGTAATATTTAATAGTATATTTAATTATGTACATCATACTTCACATGATATTATTACATATCCAATCATTTATAAACATTATTTGCAACATAATTTAGCTAAAATATAATAATTATTGTACATTTGTTTAAAAAAGTACAATACACAACCTTATTGTCCTGATTGGAAAATATAACTGATGATATTCTTAAGGTCTAAATTTTTTGTTTGTAAAATTTTTCCAACAATTTATAATTGTAAAGTTCATTTTTTTATCTGGACTTCGGCAACGTTGCAAATTTAGGGTTTTGGTTGGTAAATACAGTTGTCAAGTTGGTCGCATTGATTAAAACAAACTAAGCTAGTTATAAATCTAATTGTGGTTATGTATAGATTATTGTAGGTTACATTGTGCAGTTGTCAAGTTGAGTTGTCGAAATTCGTAGTTAAAAATGCAATTAATTTGGCTTTGGTGGTGCTTGGATGAGTAAAATCATATAAAAAAAGTAGTTAAATATAGGTTGCTTTACGGCCCAGAAGAAAAAGTATTCCTAGCGGATAATAATCTTTGCTTTGAAAAGAATTTATATAAAAGAAATTAAAATTTTTTGTGAACGTAAATGTTGTCCAATGGTGAATAATGTGAAAATAATGTGTGATGTAATATTTATAAAACCAAATTCGTTACTTTTTTACTCCAAAATGTCCATAAGGCGATGTACTTTTTCTTACCTTGTGGCATTTGGCATAATTTCATCAAAATGAAGTTTTGCCCTCAAAAGGGTTTTTACATTCGAATTCGTTGCTATTATTTTTGGCATAATTATCTTTTTATTTATAATTGACAAGTAAATTATCAATAATAAAAATTATTGTCAATTTGACAGTGTCAAAGTATTTAATTAAATTCTTTACCAGAAGTACCATTTTTAAATACTAAAAATACTGGCATAAGCCACCAACCTAACAAAAAAACACGAGTCCAGATAAAAAAACCTTGTAAATGGCAACAGCGCAATATTTTAAAATTTTGCGGTTTCTTTGGCACGCAGTGTAGATTTACCAGCAATGAATAAATTAGCTTGTAAATTGTATTGCAGGTAAATAATTAAAATTGACGGAAATGAGAATACCAAGCAATTAATAAGAAAAAGCGCGTTATTGAATTGCGACAATGAACCGAAATTTCGCAACCTTGCCAATATTCTTCAATGTCACTACGGCCTTATTGTTACTTTGATATGAAAAATTATATTTTGAAATTTACTCCAGTCTGTGACCAAAACCGTTTAATTTTAATTTTACGTGCTTTTTTCATTAATTTTAATAATAACACTGCTTTTTAATAACAACAACGCTTCTTTTAAATAAATCGAGTAGGTAAATCTAAATATTTATATTTAGATAGCTAGGTATAATATAATATTATCATTACTAAAAGCAATAAAGGGATTATATATTGATAACTATAAAAAGTGATTAGGGATTCATTAAAAACTACTTCAAGCAATTGTTATGGAAACAACATAGTATGTTGAACATACCGTTGAAAAATATTTATAAATATTAATTTGTTGAACAGAGCTGCTAGAAATTAGAAAAAATTACAAATAAATTTCTATGTTTTGTCCTTAATTATTGATTTATAATGATTTTGGTAATTTTTAATGATTTGGTAATTTTTAAAAATGTTCAATGATTTTGGTAATTACAGTCCATATACCTACGTATTTTACACCTAACAATTACAAATTAATAAATGAAATATCATTAATATTTATCACAACGAAATTTTACAGGTAAGATTGCCTTAGATTAGAGAGATGACTTGTAGCATTTCGAAATAAAGAATTGTTGTAAGCATATTAGCATTAATTAAAAAATAAAAAGGCCTCGGCTTTCTAAAATGGTAAAATTAAATAGGCCACAATTATTTGACAGACGACAGCGTAGGGAGCATCTAGTTGCCCACGAAATTTATTAAAAACAATGCACAAAACCCCAGCCGCCCAAGATATATACTATGCACTTAAACTATGTACACTCACCTGTGAATTACTGTTAGATTCTTCTATTTTATCAGTTTCCATTTTTATCATTGTGCGTTTTATGAAGATGTTTATTCCTCGAAACAATCCCACTTATAGGAGTCCGTGATTACTTAACTAGCACTGAATAGGTTACTTTAACATATTTTCTTCGAAACTAACTTGTTAAGTTTGTTATTACACTAAAAACTTTGCACACTCGCTCACCGAAGTGTGAGGCGCACACAAAACGGGAACACAAGAAAAGTCAACTGCCAGAAACCCAGTAACCTGTGGCGCTGCTAGCACGAAAATCCCTAGAAAGTAACTTCGCTGTGTTGCCAAGTTATAGGTATTTTCGGGGTACGCAAAAGTGTAAAGTGTGCATTGAGATTTGCTAAAACAAATTACCCAAAAATTTCACTGAACGCTACAAATAAAATAAAAATGAGGAATATTAAGTTCTACAGTATGTCTACTTAAGTTGGCAACATATGGGTGAATCTCACGAAATGTCCCCCGATGGTGTTACCCCGTGATATTTAATAAAACTAAATGAGTTTGACCTACACTTTTATTGTGTTTTGATCTTTCATAATTAAGTAGATATTACAGCTCAGGTTTCAGATTTTTAACCGCAATTAATTATTTTTACAATGTTTTAAAAGTCTAAACCCTATCCTCCGTGACTGTTACTCTTTCTAGGTTAACTTATATGTTTTCAAATATCCGAGGTAGTAAAAGTATACTAAAGTTAACTAAGTAAATTAAACACATCCAAAGCAATCGAATCAAATATAAAATATTATTAAAAATTAATAGAAATAATTTTTATAACCATTTATATAGCTGTTCAAAAATTGATTCTATCCTGCGTGAATCTGTTTTTGTTTTAAATGTTATGCAACGAATGGCGCTTAAGCGTAAACAGAGGTTTTTGCCTATTTAAAATGATAAAATTTAATCATTTTAAATAGGCAAAAACCTGTTTACGACATTATAGATGCATGTGATTCCTGAAGGTCAGTTAGAATTTAAATGCAGATGAGAGTGTTGCTGTTTTATAATTCAAAAGTTTAAGTTCATTAATTTGCTATTTAAAAACCTATCCACCGTGAAGTGTAATATCTCAGCATTGACTTCTTCACTCAACGATCTCAGTAAGTAGATTTTTTTATACTTAAATATTTTATGTATGTACAATTGTATTTTAAAAAAATATTAAGGTATCAAAAGATACAATAACCTATTTCAAATATACAAAGGGATGTTTAAAAAAAACATACGAAATCCTAACCTCCGTGAAGCTATCTTCCGTGAATCTCTAATATTCAAAATGTATGATTTCTTAAAATTCTTGCATTAGTGCAGAACCACTTATGTTATGTTATTACTAGACCTGGTGGCTTCCCAAAAACCCCATTCTAGACTAACAGTGAAACAACCAAAAATAAAAAATAATCATTTTCACTTGGGGGACATCTCAATATATTCAGCCAGTTACATGTAATCTAGGATGCACTGACAAACAAATGATTTGTTGATAGCAAGAAATGTTTGACATTGAATGTCAAAACATCATAATTTGCTTATTTCTTTCTGAAACATTTATAAAAAATTATTAATAAAGTGTACCTTAGGGCAGTTTGTGGAGACCCTGCTAATTTGAAAATGTAAATCTGACAACTGTGCAAATAGATGATCTATGATGTCAAGAAAATATTTTCTCGATTTTTATGTAAGAATGTTATATTCTCGCACGCAAAATCGTTGAAGAATGAAGCTCATTCTTAAACGATTTTTGGTAACATTTAGTTTTTAAGTATTGGTACCCCCAAAATGTCAAACTGATTAATAACCTCAAATTCATTACTTTTATTGAAAATGAAGCCTTTATTATTGTTTTGTAATATAAAGTTTGCTCCAACAATGCATTTTAATGCAAAATTTTAAGTTTAATGTGTAAAAGTGCAGTTCAGGTTGTACTTGTGCAGGATAACAAATATTGTCATTTTGTGTTGCCAACTGACATTTTGCGAGAAAAATCCCCTAACTAACAACGACCACAAAACAATTAAAAAAACCTAAATAAAAGTTAAAATCGAGAAAATAGTATAAATCACACGTTGCAGAAGGCTATTCTCGCACTTATTCGTTCGTCCACTCGCTCCTTCGTCGCTCGAGGCCAAATTTCGAATTCGTGCGAGAATATGTGGCCTTCTGCAACTTGTACTTTAATATACTATTTCAAAGTTTTAAAATGTAACTTTTTATAACTTTCCAAACAACCCCAAAAAACGAAAAAATGAAAAGCAAATATTAGATAAAGCAGGAATCTGTAAAGCCCGCAAAATTTAAAATATTACATAACATGGTGCAACTTTTTGCTAAAAATAATGACTAATCTTCATGATTTCGCAAAAAATGGAAGGAAAATAATCGGAATCGCAGCTAATTATCAGTAAAATTGCAGTAATTAAAATAGGTTCTGAAATTAAAATGTTTTTGATTTTAGTGAATTGCTAAAAATATTGAAAAAACCTGTGCCCAAAAAGCCAGGGATTTTTATAAAGGCCTCCACATCTTATTTAGTTGAGGGCGAAGAAATATGGGTTTGTTTAATTATTGTCATAATATTCAATAGTCAATATTTTTGTTTTCAGTGAATAAAAATTAAATATTTTTTTTAGATTCCAAAAGAATTTTCTGTGAACCAAGAGGTAGAATTAGGTGTAATAATTGGTAAAGAAGGTAAATTCATAGATGAATGTCAGGCTATGGATTATATTGGTGGATATTGTGCATCTCTGGATATGACAGCAACTTGCCAAATGGTAAATACATTTTATTATTATTTATTATTTGTTTAATTAATTATTCCTTATAAAGCAAGAGGCCAGAAGCACTGGTGGATCATGACATTGTTTATTTAATGTCATATTAAGGTATCAAAAGATACAATAACCTATTTCAAATATACAAAGGGATGTTTAAAAAAAACATACGAAATCCTAACCTCCGTGAAGCTATCTTCCGTGAATCTCTAATATTCAAAATGTATGATTTCTTAAAATTCTTGCATTAGTGCAGAACCACTTATGTTATGTTATTACTAGACCTGGTGGCTTCCCAAAAACCCCATTCTAGACTAACAGTGAAACAACCAAAAATAAAAAATAATCATTTTCACTTGGGGGACATCTCAATATATTCAGCCAGTTACATGTAATCTAGGATGCACTGACAAACAAATGATTTGTTGATAGCAAGAAATGTTTGACATTGAATGTCAAAACATCATAATTTGCTTATTTCTTTCTGAAACATTTATAAAAAATTATTAATAAAGTGTACCTTAGGGCAGTTTGTGGAGACCCTGCTAATTTGAAAATGTAAATCTGACAACTGTGCAAATAGATGATCTATGATGTCAAGAAAATATTTTTCAAAATTTTAAAATGTAACTTTTTATAACTTTCCAAACAACCCCAAAAAACGAAAAAATGAAAAGCAAATATTAGATAAAGCAGGAATCTGTAAAGCCCGCAAAATTTAAAATATTACATAACATGGTGCAACTTTTTGCTAAAAATAATGACTAATCTTCATGATTTCGCAAAAAATGGAAGGAAAATAATCGGAATCGCAGCTAATTATCAGTAAAATTGCAGTAATTAAAATAGGTTCTGAAATTAAAATGTTTTTGATTTTAGTGAATTGCTAAAAATATTGAAAAAACCTGTGCCCAAAAAGCCAGGGATTTTTATAAAGGCCTCCACATCTTATTTAGTTGAGGGCGAAGAAATATGGGTTTGTTTAATTATTGTCATAATATTCAATAGTCAATATTTTTGTTTTCAGTGAATAAAAATTAAATATTTTTTTTAGATTCCAAAAGAATTTTCTGTGAACCAAGAGGTAGAATTAGGTGTAATAATTGGTAAAGAAGGTAAATTCATAGATGAATGTCAGGCTATGGATTATATTGGTGGATATTGTGCATCTCTGGATATGACAGCAACTTGCCAAATGGTAAATACATTTTATTATTATTTATTATTTGTTTAATTAATTATTCCTTATAAAGCAAGAGGCCAGAAGCACTGGTGGATCATGGACACTGGGTAAAAGCTTTGACACTGCCTGTCCAGTAAGTAAATTTATCCCAAAATCAAAAGTACGTGATCCACACAACATTGAATTATGGTGTTCAGTGAATAGTAAAGAACGGCAACGAGGCAACACCGACGACCTGGTTTTTAAAGTCCCGTTTTTAATTAGTTATATTTCCCAGTACATGACATTACAACCAAACGATTTGATCATTACTGGGAGCCCTCCTAATATGGGACCTGTTCACCCTGGTGATGTTATTGAAGGTGGAATCAAAGATGTTGTCGATTTTAGGTTTTGCGTGGCTAAGAACTTGTCTTAAACTAAGATTATAATAAACATTCTGTAAATTAAATCTAAATTTTTTTGAGTTGACTATCCTGTCGAATGTATCCTTGAGAGTTTCTGTCATCTGTCAAACGTTTTGTATATTGAGGTTATGTTCAGTGTTTTGCCTTTCTGAAAATAATTTATTAACAATGAGTACTTCGTCAAGCACAACAAGCGACGATGATTTGGATTCGGCCCCTGTTAGCTTACACAGGGTTGCAAAAAAATCCACCTCGGCTACTGCAGCTCCAAGTCAGAACGTTTATTCGACCAGAAGGCAGATGCGCTCTAAAACTGTAGCAGACAGGTTTTTGGAAAATTTCAACCCGGAAACGAGCGTGAGAGAGAAACGGAAGCTCATCCGGAAAATAAACCCACCTTCGAGTGTTCGTAGACCTATGGGTGCAGTCTACGATGAGCATGGTGTTCATGTTGCTTCCGGAATGGATTTGTGCGACTGTTTGAACGAGGATTGCGTGGGATGCGGTTTCGAGTGCACAAAATGTGGCTCTCAAAAGTGTGGGACCGATTGCAGGGTGCATCGTAAGTTTATCATCGATCAAGTGGAATTTCATGGATACGATCATATTCTTAAAAATCCGTTACAAAAATATTAATCATGGGATTTAAATGCATCCAATTTTAAAATTCAACACTTAATACTTTATTATTCTAGTGTAAGTGTACTTTTATCCAATCAGACACTTTTTATGTTGATTTATAACATAAAATATTGTCTTTTTAATTTAGAGAGAAACTCTCATTCACTTTTATAATAATTAACACTTTTTGTTAAATCTTATATGAAAACTATATTATTTTTGTAATAATAACCTACCATTGTATTATAATAAATAAACATTCAAGAAATATTTTTTCTCTAGTTAAAAACTATTCCTCTCAAAAGATTTTTTTAGTTTTACCAGAGTATTTTAGTGTTTTTATAACTCCCTGCAACTTGATAACACAAACACTAAGAACATAATTTAGTATGAGAGAAAACATTTATTTTTTCCTAACCCTGTATATTTTTTATTTTGGCAAACAGATATAATTTTATATTACTGTCTAAATTAGACACAGTTTTAAATTAAAAAGTTTAATTTTAACCATTATAATAAAATTGTATTTTCATCTAAAATCGACCATTATTTTTAAACGAAATTTTTATTGCAGCGTATCAAAATCGATGAGACCCGTATTTTTTTTGCTTTTGATTGGATTATTGCAATTTGTTTTTAAATTGTAGGTAAATGTTTACTATACAAAAAAAATTAAGGCAAAATTTTGACTTTTTTTTTTATTTCGTTTTTTTTCGTTTGAAGTTGATAATATAAACAACTTTCACCAAAAGTCCTGAGTTGGCTAAATTCGCCACATATAGTTATTGGACACTTAAGGAATATTATTTATTTAAAATGTATATATGCCGTTTTTGTTTATATTTTAGTCTTTTTTTTGTAAATATAGGTAGTTTGTTTGTTTAAACTTTATTTACGTTTACTTAAATATAGGAATATTTGAATTTTTTATAAAAACACACAAATAAGTATTATACTATAATAGTAATTGGACGTTTTATATAGTAATTGGACACATGGACCATAGTTATTGTACATATATAAACATAACAACTTTACATCAAATAACAAAAAATGTTAAATATTTTTTAAAGATAAATTGCTGTTTTAGGTAATTTTTTTTATTTCGTTTTTGTAAATATCATATAATTCATATATTTCTTTCTCGGATTCTTCATCCCTTTTCTGGATTCTGAATGTAACTACTAATTCCTTGGCCTGACTTCTGAAATAGTTTGTTGCAAATATCATTAAGTGTGGTATCTCTAGTTTGTGAAGCATTTATAATGTTTAGGCCGGAACAGGATGATTTATATATGTATATCTAATATTTTTCCGGATGGTATGTTAAAAGTATTTTCCGAATTTATTAATTTTTTATGTTCTCTATCATGCACTGTATTTAAATCACTGTTATTCTGCAAGATGTCCTGTGACGAAGAAATCACTATATTACTTACTCTCTAAAAATGAATTAGTCAAAAATGTCATAGCGAAAAAGCAGCCACTAATAATTCTCGTTAAAATCAATTTGTATCCAGGACATTTAGCAGTCAATTCCTATGAAATAATATTCGCTTAATCCGAAAATGTCGTCAAGTTATAAAAGTAGAACAGTTTTTGAAATATAATCAATTTTACATGTAATATGGAATTGACTATATCTCAAAAACTGCTTAACTTTTATAGTTTTTGACGGTCTTTTCGGATTCAGGGGACAATTTTACATAAGAATTGGCTGGTAAATGTCCGGGATACAAATAGAGTATGATATTGGACGTATGTCCAATAATAGAAATTTACATTTTTTACCAACCAGTAATTGGACACTGGCCATTTTACTGTTTGTTTTTAGAATTAAAATTAAAACGCATTAAAGTGACTATGTTTAAATCATGAGGAATACATTTATACCATACACTGATCTGTAGGTACACTTTTTAGAAATATTTTTTATTGTAATTTAAACACAGCCCTGCTCTTAACAAAATAAGAAAATCTTACCACCAAAGTAACGTGCGAACTTTTGTGTCCTATATTGGACCCAAAATAAAGTAGTTCTATATTATTATCGACTGAGATAGTTATAATTCATTGTCAAATTATGCTATTTGTACAAGGTAATACATTATTTGGTTGATAACATTTTTTCTTTAAATAGAATAAATTTTTACGTACCAATTTTGAAGACAAGGTTAGTCAAAACATTTTTTGAAAAACAATGTTCTACAAATTATACTAAATACTCTCCCATAAATTATATGTGTACGTATTATATATAATAATTTACAAAACATTGTTGACATTTTTGGTGTTAATTTTTCTGCTTTTAAGAATACTTTAAAAAGATATTTTTTTGGACTTTCTTATTTTGGTTTGGGTAGGAATCAAAGTTTATCAATTAAATTTTTTTGGAGATTTTCGTTTTGTATTAGGAATACTTTCAAGTATTTATTGAAAGTGTATTTTTTATTTGGTAAATATATTTAAGTAAGAATAGAAGTTATTGTACATATTATGTAAATTAGTCAAGTTAATTTTAGAAATTTCTTTTAAAAGCTCTGTAATTGGGAAAATTTTCCTGTAGAGTCTTTCTTTAATAAATAAATAAATTGTATAGAGCGTCATCTAATGATTTGACTTTAAGATAATTATTTTTAATTAATTGTTCAATAACTATAAAGTGACCGATAAATGTCAACTTTGCCCTATTTTTTTGTATGTATTTAGTAAACATTTACCTACAATTTAAAAAAAAATTGTAACGATCGAAACATTTTAAGCCAAGTTGTCGCATTTTTAAGAAGAAATGTCCAGTGGGTATTTAATTAAAAACAAATATAATAATTAAAATATTGTATTTATATTGCATCATACAAAAGGATCCTCTAGACACACGTCGACAATAAGTCTTAATTTTAATACCTTACAATAATAATAAACTTAACGAATTAAATTAAAAAATTTATTTAAATTTTGAACAAAATTACTTGTCGTTTTCCTTCTTGAATCGTTGCATCAGCTCTACGAGGCTTTTGACGTCAGCCAAGCTGACTGCATTGTAAAGCGAGGCTCTGATCCCTCCAACGCTCCTGTGCCCCTTCAGCTGGTACATGTACTGCTTCTCGGCCTCGTCCAAGAACTTCTTCTCGAGCTCTTCGTTGCCGTTTGGCCTTCCGATCCTGAAGGGAATGTTGATTCTGCTTTGCACCTCCTTGTCAATGGGAGAAGTGTAGAACCCGTCGGAATTGTTGATGGCGTCGTAGAGGAGTTTTGATTTTTCTTCGGATTGTTTTTCCATGCCCTCAACGCCACCCATCTTCTTGATCCATTGGAGGACTTTTTCCATCACGTAAACTCTGCAATTTAATAAGTATTATGTTAATCTACGTATACAAAAATTCCTATTTGAATAAAACAATAAAAATTAAAAGTTATAAAGTTTTATTTATCAAGTCACATCTATTCTTAACAGTTTTGTTTTTGGTTCACCTCGATATATTTATTTTTGTGGAAAATATGGATTTTTTTTTAAACATTACAATTTCCAATATTTTTCCTTTATGAAGAACTAAGGTTGCTATGGTCCATCCATAAGCTATGAAGAATGTCAGTGACAGTTTTGTTGAATCATCCCATACTTGGACATGTCATACACGGCTTTCAAAAGCTATCAAATTGTTTTTTGCAAATTAATGTTTAAATTTTGACGTGTCTTCTTACTTCAAAAAATGGATATGTCTCCGACTGATGTTGCCAGAGCCATTAATTTAATCCAGGATGGACGGTCACAGTATTACGTGGCAAGGGTCACAGTATTACGTGGCAAGGGTTTTAAACGTCACAAGAAGTACAAAGTACAAAGAGTAACATCAGTGGGAGACATTTTTAAAAGTAAGAAGACACCTCAAAATTAACACATTAATTTACAAAAAACAATTTGATAGCTTTTGAAAGCCGTGTATGACATGTCCAAGTATGGGATGATTCAACAAAACTGTCACTGTCATTTTCCATAGCCTATGGATGGACCATAGCAACCTTGGTTCTTCATAAGGTGCGTACTGACTTGCAACAAAACACTCCGAACGAACCAAACGCACCGCGCGCGCTGCGCCGAATGCCACAAACATGTTTGTGAAGGTTCGTGCCGTTCGCGAGCATTTGCTGTGTTCGTCGCGTTCCCGCATTTGGTGTGTTCGTCAGGATGGATGCAGATGATTTAATAATAATAGCGGCTGGTGCTTTTTTTTTAAGTGCTTTAGTTAGTAATAAGAAGAAGAAAAAAAGAAAAGAGTGGTCAAGACGTCATCTATTTTTATTAAAATACAGCCCATTTTTGGCATCCCATAATAAAGGGTGCTTTTCATATTCATCTATTAATTGAAGGCACTTTTCCCTGCTCCATTCCATCTTTGCACTTTTAATAATTAATTTAAATAAACAAACAGGCCAAACACGGCAAACACACGTTCTCACTGCAAAGTTGCGAACTAATCGTTCGGCGAAAATCTCTTTGCGCAAATCCGATTTACCGACAATCGCCCGAAAAAGTTTGGCGCGTTCCGTTCTGTTCGGCGCGAGGTTCTCACTAGCACAATTTGTTGCAGCGCGCGCGGCGCGTTTGGATCGTTCGGAGTGTTTTGTTGCAAGTCAGTACGCACCTATACAGAAAAATATTGGAAATTGCAATGTTTTTTAAAAAATCCATATTTTCCACAAAAATAAATATTTCGAGGTGAACCAAAAACAAAACTGTTAAGAATAGATATGACTTGATAAATAAAACTTAATTTAGAACAATATACGGTTTTGCCACTCTACAGAGTGTCTTAAACTTATGGTAAAAAACATATTTTTGTTTAAACCTGTATATTATAAACGTACGTCTATTTTTAAGTAATTTTTTAAAATGTGAGCGATTGTCCATTAATTTATCTACAATATTCTTTAATATTTGTTTAAATCCGAAATCAAATAAAAAAGTTATTTGCGATGAAATTCATAGAAAATTTGTGTGGATCGATTATTTTGCCTGTGAGTGTATATTAATATTATTAAAATACAAAGTATCCTTATCCTATAGGATTAATAATTAATTACCTATTCATAACAAAATATTAGGTATTAATAAATTAATATTCCTTGGTTTTGCATCTTTAAAGGTAAAAACTATTAGGTTAAACATTATTCGCTCATTTATAATAATTAATAAATAAAATAAATAAAGTTTGTATTGCATATTCAGTACAATACAGAACATATAATACAAAATATACAAAAGGCCATCGACCGGGGTCCTTCAGCGTGCATATAATAATATTTTACATATACAGGGTGGTCCAGGATTAATCTGAAAAATTTTAATGATCGATAGAGCCTGAAAAAACAATAAAAACAAACCCAAAAACATTTTTCAAAAATACACACTAACACACTAATAGCTCTTCAAATGTAAAAAATCGTTTTTTTTTTAAATAACTCTTAAACCATTAAACCGATTCTGCTCAAATTTTGTGTAGTTAAAATTTCTTACAAAAGACCCAGCGGCGGAGATTTTAGGGGGGTTTCCCCTTTTTACCCCCATATTTCGACCCTATTGGATTTTATTGGAAAATCAACAGATTGTCAAACACATTTGATTTATTATGCCACGTTATCAGTTTTGCAACATCGAATATGCAGACTTTGAACTACGAAATAATAATGAACAAAATGTACGTGAACCGAGATTAAGACGACGGAATAGAAATAGGATACTGAGCACTTTTCAAAATGATCCAGGGTTGAGCTAGAGAAGAATTAATAGACAGGATACGATATTAATGTAACTACACTACAAGTTGCACGGGCTGTCCAATTCCTTCTACGGCGCTGTCAAATGCAGCGCTGCCAATGTGTGGGTAATTCCCCAAATTGCGGGGAATTTAGCGTTGTTACGGGTAATGTGTGGGGAATTTAATGGTGTGGGGAATTTCGGGGAATTTATAGTTTTCTCTAGTTTTTGCTCCAAATGTTACAGAGCTTCTGTTTTTGTAATTCTGAACTACATGATAAGGTAAAAGAAAAATTTTCAGTTTCAGGTTCAGTTATTTGTTTTTCACCATATAAAAACTTTATCTATGTTTTTCAGTATGCGTGGGGAATTTTTGGAAGCTGTGGGGAATTTTACCACATAATGTGGGGAAAACCGTTTTTTTAGTTGGCAGCGCTGGTCAAATGTGTTTGGAGGCTGGGGGAATGCATTTTGAAAGTCTGATATAATTTGCTACAAGCTACTGTTACTATTATAATTTGTTACCAAGTTACCGATTCAACATAAAAATAAACTAGCGTCTAGGAGTCATCGGGCAGTTGTTACTGACCCCGTCATATTTTTAGGTTGTTTTATTGTAACGTTGATTGACGATTACAATCAACGTTTGTAATTAATAATTTAATCTTTGTACACAGTGTTTTTGAAATTTTAAACTAAAATATCTCCGAAACCACTGATCTGATGAAAAATTAACACAAAAGTTTTGCTTTTACATTAAAAAAGGATATAATAAATCTGATAAATCCAGTGGCCTCGAAAATATGAAGGTAAAATGGAAAACCCCCCAAAATCTCCGCCACTGGGCCTTATGTAGGAAATTTTCGTTATATTATCGTAAGTAATATCATAAGGGCATTTAATTTTTCCGAAAAAAATCGAAAAAACACGTTGCTAAGTAATATTTTAACAAAAAGCATGAGTGCTGGTGGCAACAAAAATCCGAGTCGAAGAGGAGGATTTTTGCACCTGCACGAATGCATTTTGTTAAAAAATATTACTTAGCATTGTGTTTTTTCGATTTTTTTCACAGGAAAAATTAGATGCCCGAATGGTATTTGACAAGACTATTTCATGAGTAACAGTTAACAATTAAAATATAAATTGCAATTTTTGGTTACAACAGCTGTCAAGTTTTGCCGCGGGTAAACTCGAAAAAACTGCTGACAGTTTTTTCACCTAGAAACCATTTGTAATTCAAAATTGCGCGTTTGTGATTGGTGGAAATTAAGACGAGGGAAATAGTCGACGGAATCTTAACCTACACAAAATTTGAAAAATTATTTTGAAGGACTACCTATATCTCCGTTAGTATGCATTTTTGAAAAAATGTTTTTGGGTTTGTTTTTATTGTTTTTTCAGGCTCTATCGATCATTAAAATTTTTCAGATTAATCCTGGACCACCCTGTATAGTGAAAGCAAATTTAACTTGGACTATTGCATTTTGTGATTTGTGATTTTTCAAAATGAGTACTTTCTGCGTTTCTTTTTAGTTTTTAACAGAACTATTTTTAAATAGTGACACAGACTTAAGTCTATTTAAAGAGAATATTTCCAAATTTGGATTAAAATCAATTCACACTTGAAGAAGTTAAGGAATTATTAATGGAATAAATGTTAAAATTCAAATTATGTTTATTTATTACTTAAAGTTTGCTTGAAATAGTTTAAAAAAACGTGCATTTATTTACAATAAAAAAGTTATTGAATTATTTTCGCAATCGTTTCACCGCGAACATCTAAAAAAGGCATTTAAAAAATAAAGACCTATTTTTTTTAATAAAATGAAGTTAATTATACCTATTAATTAAGTCTTATTTAACACAGTAAAAAATAAAAAAATAAATATTTCTTTGCAATAAAAAAGTTTTTTGTTATTTCCTCAATTAATGCTCTAGGACCATCTAAAACGCATTTTAAAAATAAAAACCGTTATGTTTTTTAATTAAAATATAGTTAATTATACGTAATAGGTCCTATTTGACACATTAAAAAAAGAAAAAATTAATATTTATTTGTAATAAAAAAGTTATTGAATTTTGTCCGCAAAACGCTGCATTTTGACCATAGTGCGCTAAAGCTACGTTTACACTTTGTAAATTAAAAATGGTCGACTTGCATTTAAATGTAATGTTATAAATTTTGTGTTAAAAATGTATCAATTTAAAATTGTTGAATATAAAAAAAATTGGTTTAAATTTGTAAAAAGTCATTTACAAATTCTTTACAAATTTAAACCGAAAACTTTGTTGTATCTCATATTAAAAAAAAATCAATTGTTTTGAGTTTAAAAAAAATTAACTTTGTAAAACATCATTAAAGTGGTAAACTTTAATTTTTAAACTATACGCTAAACAAGTATCGGGTTTTCGCAACGCGCGCGCCATCTGGTGGACTTCAAAAGCATTGCGTGAATTTAAGAATTGTCAACAATACATTGAAAGCATACGAACTGTACATCATTTTTAAATAAATAGGTAGTTTTTCCACAAAATAAAGGAAGGCAGAAGTCTTACTCGACAAATTTTGTTCAATTGCACAGC